ACCTTCCGTATACATTTTCGTCCGAGTTTAATTAAATGGTGCACCAAAAATTCAAAGTGTGTTCGATTGACGCAACATTTTGCACAACGTATCTAAAGGGATGGATGAAGTATGTGCAGAATTAGATATAGCTACCATATATGTTTTCGTCCGATTTTATCTATGTTTTTATACCCTACACCATAGTATGGAGGGTATATTAAGTTTGTCATTCCATTTGTAACTCACCGAAATATTCATTTCCGACCCTATAAAGTATATGGGCAATATTGCCAATTTTTTAATATTCCATTTTCAAAAAATCAGCGTTTTTGTTTTTGTGGCACATCAATGATTTTTGGTACACATATAGAGAAAAATTTTCTGACTCCGAAACCGTTCGCGATCAAATTTTTGGTTGATGCGCGCAAAAGTTATCGAGGTTTTAATTTTGGGTATAAGAAAAAAATCTTAAAATTACGCCGTTTATTATATTGACCAAAAACGTTTATATATATCTTCCTCCGTAAATAAAAATACGAATATATTATAATAATCACGATAAAGTTGCACATATTCGCGAAATATGAGAAAAATAAAAAATATATAGCAGATTACATCAATATTTTCATTATATTAATGACATACACACACCTAAAAATTAATTTAAAAATATCTACATAATCTAAACACCATGATGAATCAAATGATATCAAAATCGCACAAGTCCGTGTAGCGGTTTCTAAATCAAAGCGACAACAAAACAAGATATTGAGGAAAAATATTTGTTTTTGGTTCGAAAAAATAATGTCATCATATTTATTTTTTTAATTGTATACAAGAAATTTCAGAAAAAAATGTTGGTGTTATTTTGCTATTTTACCCGAATTTCGCCGAAAAATTGACATATATAATAATAATCACTTTTTGTGTATAAGTATGCGCCTTGCGGATTATATCAAGACCCTTCCGATAAATCTTAGAATTCTATAAATAGGAATAAATCTTAAAATAAAATAATATTATGAAATATACTATTTAAATTGCGTGTAAATCGCGTAATTCTCAGAATCAGTTGATGCGCATGCGGTTTCCGGGAAGTACTGAAGTTTATCTTCCAATCCATATATATTTTGCGAAATTTCATTTGACGGCTAAGATGTGCCACACGTTACATTGAAGTACCCAAAAAATCGTAAAACGCGAATAATTTCCGAAAACTCCATATGCCATTAACGCGCATCCGATTTCGGTGTGCACCCTAAAAAAATACATCGATCTATACCGATTTCAATGTGGTCCATTAAGAACCATGGATGTGCCAGCACAATCCATTTTTGAGATAAATTGCGTACATCTCTCTTTCGGCTGAAGTTTTTAAAGTTCTTTTTCGAAAAAGATGAAAATCCGTATGAGGTCATTTATTGAAGCGGAAATGATACACAGAAAACGCAAATAAATCCGCGATATTTTCAAAAACATTTTTTGCCAAATTTCGTGTTTTTGGAAGGCCAGTTCCCGCCGTTCTAGTAGATGGATTTTCACGAAGAAGATTTTATATCATCCGAAACGTAAAAAAACCTTATTGATCGCGGGTACCCATATCATTCAGTTGACAGATCTAAAAATTTGGCTCGAAAAATAGGTTTTTTAGAAATTTGATCGCACAAAATTCGCACCTTCTGATGAGTATTACTCTGAAGCTGTGCATACTACATACACAAAATACATATCAAATTACGCAGATTCGCGACTACAATAATCTTATAATCGATTTTTATAAATTCCTGGTTGCGTACTTAAGCTTGAAATAAAATTCAAAAAAACACTCAAAATCGACCTTCAAAATGTCAGCATCATTTAAAGGTAGATGCAGTTAAAATTTTGAAAATTGATACATAAGGGGCGTAGTCCCCATTTTGTTGGCTTCTAGTTTTATTTTGACACGAAGGCCGTGCAATGAGTGGCTTAGTCACAAATCGATAGAGAACATAAAAAAACTGGTTCGCCTCAACCTGTTTTTACACATTTTTTTACATTAAAGTAGACACAGCATCCACCAAAATAAAGTTTGGAGGTCAATATCATGAACAGTTTGCAACGACAGATCAATTAACCCAAAATTATTCACTTTTTTTCATATTCTTAAGTAATTCCGGAGTTATAAAGGGGAGAACCTCCGCTTCAGCTATGTTAAAAAATTGGCAATATTGCCCATATATATTCTTGATCAGGGTGAAATTCTAAGACGATGTAGCCATGTCCGTCCGTCTGTCCGTCTGTTGTAATCACGCTATCTTCCGAAGGAATTTAGATAGGGTGCTGCAATTTTGCATGGGGTTGTCTTTTGTCTGCAGGCAGCTCAAGTTCGAAGATATATCGGTCCACGTTTAGGCATATAAGCCATATAAGGGTACCCCCAAATTTTCGGTATATTGGGGTTCTTGAGCGCGTTTTTTAACCGAATTCGCTGAAATTTGGTACATTTGTTTCTTATTGGGTACTAAATGTCGCCACGAAAAATTATAAATATAGGTCCACTTTTTCTGGTAGCCCCCATATAACGGTACCTCCTAATTTTCAATATTTTGAAGTTTGGTCGTATTTTTCCACCGAATTGGCTGTAATTTAGTACTTTGAGTTCTAAATAGGTTCCAAATCACTCTACAAAAAATTATGAATATAGGTCCATTTTTTCTGGTAGCCCCAATTTTCGGGATTTTGGGGTTCTTGAGCGCGTTTTTCAACCGAATTCGCTGAAATTTGGTACATTGGGTTCCTATTGGGTACCAAATATCTCCACTAAAAATTATAAATATAAGTCCATTTTTTTCTGGTAGCCCCCATATAAAGGTACCCCCAAATTTCGGCATTTGGAGGATCTTGAGCGCGTTTTTCAACCGAAATCACTGAAATTTGGTATTTTGTAGCCGTATATGGAAACAAATCTCCCTACCAAAAATTATTAATAGTCAACCCCTTTTAGGCGTAGTCCCCATATAACCCGAGTTTTTATATTAATATAATTATCTGATTTTTCTGTTGTAATCATTTCACCTACGAAGGATATCGAGATAAGAACCTAGAACGTACGGTTCGATAATGAACTATAGCCCGCATTTAGGCTTAGCCGTAGCCCCTGTGTGGGAGGTACCAGCAGGCATGGACCGATATTCCCCAAATTCGGACTTGAACTAAGTTTGGAAGACATAATAAGATGGGATGAAATCAAATTTTTCTGAAACAAATTTGGTCCCAAGAAACATGGGGTCTAGAACCAATTTTTCGATGAGGCACATTTTCACCGTGTGAAAGTGTATACACACTAACTAGCCATAAGGCTGAGGGTATAATTTTCTATTCAAAATTATTGTTTACATAATCGGATTGTAGAAATGTCGGTATATGTCCATTTTTTTGGTATGTTCCTTATATTTTCATTTCAAGCGTTTCGTAAAAAATGGCAGTAATGGTACCCCTGATTTTCGGTATTTTGAAGATTTTGGACACTTGTTGTTAAATACAACGAAACAAAAGAGCAATCGACAAATACTTAGTCAAACGTAGTAATGTGGCGACTATTTCACTTGAACAAAATTGGACAGTCAGTTTTTAGTTGTACACTACGGTGCTGAGGACTTCGAATAACGAACAAAAGAGTGATTTTTCATCGAAAAAAATTTAATTGGGGATCTTGACCCAAAAACATATCTTTATTTCCACACATGACAAAACCCAAAAAAAAAGTTGGTCAACGATCAACCTCGTCAGAAGACGCAAACACATGATTTGGAGTTGTATCAATCGGAGTAGAAAGAATCATGCTGAAGCATACTTTGAAAAGAATACAATCTTTCGATGATATATATCCGAATTTGCATTATTAAGCCAGAAGTAGTCGCGTATGATGAAACACGAAATAAGGCAATCAATAAAAGCGGACAAAATATATATGGGAGCTATATCTTAATCGGAACCGATTTTTCTCAATTGCAATAGGGTTCGTCCTTTGGCCAAATAAATGAGCTGTGCCAAATTCCATCCAATTCGAATCAAAAACGCGCCCTTTACTTTGTTTACCATTTAACATGGGTAGACGGACGACATACATAAATCGGCTTAAAAATTCCATCTATGCATATTCTCAAAAGGAACCATGTGTGTATCTCGTTTCCTTTTGCCTGTACCACAGTGTGGTGAAGGGTATAAAAATGCAATATCATTGTTTACCTTTTAAGATTTTTTATTGCATGTAACAATATTTGTTTTATATAACGAATACATTTAAATCTTCCATAATACCAATATAGCTCACCCAAAAAACACAATCCATTTACAATAAATATAAAGATAAATAATGCTAATAATAGTTGCATATCTCCCAATTTCATTGGAACAAATCGGAAATGTTGACTGGTATCAATGAGGGACATCTTCTTGCGTTTGACGGCTTCCCAAAAAGACATTGTCTTCCAATACTTGACAATACCGGAATCTCTTAAACGTTGTATCATGACATCTATGGCTGGTTTGTATGGAGAATTAAGTTGCAGCGGCACTGTCAGTTCAATTAAGTTTAAAAAACAAATATTGGTAAAGCGAAATTTTGGTCTCTGAAAATATCGCTGCTGTTCGGCATATATCCTCCAACGATCGGAGGGTACGGGATATGCATATCGAGTGTCAAGTAAGTCACGACGTTTATAAAATTCTTCGATTTTCATTATTACACAAAAATCATTAAATTCGGAAAAAATTTGGCGATCTTTTAATATTTTTTGTTCGGGTAGTGTGATAACAAATTTCAAATTGGTCTTTTTCATATCGCTGAGAGAAGTAATGGACTTCTGGAATGTTGGAGTGGCCTTTAGGGTTTGTAAATATGTAACAAAGGTTGTATTGAATATAATGCCCTGCAAAAATATTAACCCATAGAGAAATCTGCGAATTCCCAAATGTGATGATGACAATTTGAATGGCTGGCCCAAGAGACCATTAAAAACGTAAATGTTGAAAATTACATCCCTCAGTGGTAATTTCTTGAGAGGTGGCGCTGTTAAGGCCAAAAGTATTGAGAACAGAAAACCCAAACACAGCATTATCACTAGTATTTTGTTATCAAAAGTTATGATCAGGAGTTTATATGGGGCCAAAGGTTGCTCCATGGGCACCATTAAACACCAATCCAAAATATCATACATTGCGCTAACTTCAAATTTCGTCTGCTGCATGTCCACCGAGAGTTCGGCCAACATATCAAATGTATTATTTTCCAGGAGACTTTTTAACATATCACTACGATAAAAAAATGGAACTCCATTCGAAATGGTTGGTTGTTGTAAAGTGGCATTGTGCTTTCGAGCAAACTCCTCTAGGAAAGTACCCAAATAACCACTCAAATGGACTTGATTTTCAAGGGTTTTTGTAATATAAGCTCTGTCACTGCCATTCACAATGCCAACATTTATATTGTATCCATGCATATTTTTAACTCGTTCCGGATAGAATTCAAATCCTGACACATTGCCAATTTTCATCGTTTTCATATCAAATGTGGGAAATATTTGTGGAACAAAAATTTCATGAAATTTCACAAACGATTCTTTGATAACGTTAACGTGTAGGACTTTATTTTTAACACAAAATTCTAGTATGGTTCGGATGTAATCACTGCTCTCACCCCATTTTGCAATTAGTAAAAATTTACTTCTTGCAAATCTTTTCAAATATGTCCACAAGGAATTCAAAAGCTCCATATCCATAGTTTCAATGCCATTCAGGAAAACGATAACAAATCTGTAAAGATTATCTCCGATTTGTGTTGGGAAATCTACTTTTGCCTTAATATTTAACATGGGTAACTTCATAGATTCCATTAATATCATACACAACATATCATATTCCCAATTGTCTGTATGGGTAGCAAGAACCAGGGAATGAATACGATTTTGATCCTTGACGGCCTGTGTAAGTTCTCCTAGACTTTCTGCAATTTCCATTGTCGTAGGAGTGAATAACTGCATTGATGTTAGCAGTAGTGTAACGTTCAACGCTACTGACATTTTAAAACCGAATGCATGGCTCGAAGTATTTGCAAATACATGTCAGCATTGAATGCTTGTTGGTTACATGTCGTGGTAAGACAATAAACCGATAAAAGTCCTAGTAATTAAAATTGAGGATAATAGTAGGATATGTTCGTTGGAGGCACACTTGGGAGAGCAATATCAATTTATAAATGCATTATGGTGTTTAGGGACAATAGAAACATCAAGGAAACCAGTAAGGAAAGTAGTAAAGTCAGACTGGGTCGACTATATAATACCCTTCACCACTTTGCGTATATTCAAAAGATGTATCCCAGCAGACGTCGGCTTTGCGAAGGAACATTGACTGAAATTAAACGAACTTAAATATCTATAAGTGAACCGGCTTACATCAATCCATACACATGTCTTTCTACAACCCTAGATTCGTTGTCGAACTTGATGCACGCTATCCGGTTCGAGATATATATGGACGCTATGTCTGCACCATCAGCACCATTTCAACTGATACATTGTGCAAAATTTTGTGTCAATGGTAAAATCTGACACAATATAAAATGTATAAATCTGAACCGATTTTAACGAAACACATCATTCCAGGCTCAATTCAGTACGCTACCCCAAATTTTGTGTGAATTGTATAAATATGGGGGCCTAGGTACACTATTTAAATAAAATCGGACGAAAGTATATATGGGAGGTATATCCAGTGTTGCCAAAACTTTGTTGAGGAAAAATGCTAGATTTTGTTGAAAAAAATGCTAGAAAGTGCTAAAAAATTTAAAAAAGTACCAGAAAAAAGTGCTAAAAATTTCTAGAACAAAATTGTTAATATTTAATAATAAAATATTAATCAGAAACCCCATTTATTCTTTACGGCTAATCGTTGTCGATTTAGCCATGGCCGTCCGATTGAGGTTGCAATATTGAAGAATTTTGCACATACATTGGTACTACTCTTATGAGATTTGATATTGGAAATGGAATATATCGGTCCTTTTTGGGTACACCATACCCCAATATTTGTTTTTTACGCTTTTAGGCACATTTTTATACCCTTCACCACACTGTGGTACATCCTCCGATTGGCACGAAATTTGGCACAGCGTTCTGAATTAAGTCTAGAACGATGTGTGTTAAATGTCGTGAAAATCGGTTCAGATTTAGATATAGCTCCCATATATATTTTCGTCCGATTTTATGTAAATGGTGCACCAAAGTCCCTATATATATCCTTCGATTTTCAAGAAATTTGGCATAGCAAACTGAATTAAGTCTAGAATCATTTGTCCTAAGATTCGCGAAAATCGTTTCAAATTTAGATATAGCTCCAAATATATTTTCGTCCGATTTAATGTAAATATTGCATCAAAGTCCCTATATATCCTTCGATGTGCACGAAATTTTGCATAGCGTACTGAATTAAGTCTAGAACGATGTGTGTTATATTTCGTAAAAATCGGTTCAGATTTAGATAAAGCTCCCATTTATATTTTCCGGTTTTATGTAAATGGTGCAACAAAGTCCCTATATATCCATGGATTTGCACAACATTTGGATTTATAAGTAAAAGAAGAACTCAAAATGTGGCCGAATGCACAAAACATACTGAAATAAGTGTAACCTAACATGTGACAAGTTTCGATGAAATCGGTTTAGATTTCGATATTTTCTAATTTTGTTCTATTGTAGAAAGCAGCTCTATTATCTGAACTAAATTTTAGGATTCCATCTGTTGAATATACCCAAAGTGGTGAAGGGTATCATATAGTCGGCCCCGTCCTACTTTCCTTACTGGTTCAACCTAAATTGCTGTATATTTGTATATTGTGTTCTACCTGGATATATAGTCTTCTTACTAGAACTTATCAATATTGGTCCACTGGATAGCCATCATCAATTGCATTGGTTTTAATTTGATTGTTTAAAAAAAAATCTCCTTATCAAAAAGTATTAATATGGGTCCATAGTTAGGGGTAGCCCCCAGAGAGCGGTACCCTCCCCATTATTCGACATTTTGGGGACGTCGAACACACAACAGAATTGACTAAATTTTGTTTATTGTTTGTTTTGATGGGGTTTGAAATCTTCCTACTAAAATATAAATATTAATAATGTCCAAATTTGGTTAAGGTAAATAACTGTAATTTCACATTGCGTACAAATATGAAGAAAATTATAAATTTTCGTCCCATTTGCGTACTTTTAAGGTTTTATAATCTCATTCCCAACAGCGACTTCCAACATAATTCATGTTCATTATTTTTACATCGCTCTCATAAAATGTACAACTTAATTTGGTTTTTCATTTTCCCACATGAAGTACCCGACCATTTTTTAAAAAATTTGGAATGCACGGCACATGCTGGATAGCATTGGAAACATAGCGAAAATTGAATGAGTCAATATGAAATCGAAAAACGGGATTTTTTGGATTAAAACCAAAATTTTGTAAAAAATTCCTAAGAAATTAAAAAATGCTAAAAAAAAGTTCTAGGTGCTAGATCAATTTTTTTGGTGCTAAACGAGTTCAAAAAGTGCTAAATCTAGCACTAAAAGTGCTAAATTGGCAACACTGGGTATATCTAAACCTAAACTGATTTTCACGAATCTTAGTACACATCATTCTAAGCTCCACTCCATACGATATGCCAAATTTCGTGCAAATCCAAAGTAAGACTTTGATCTTTCCTAATTTCAACAGGGTTCGTCCTTGGGCCAATTAAATTAGCAGTGCCTAATTTCACCCACTATAAGATTACCTATAACATTTTGGGTATACCGAAAACGTACTGCTCAGTATCTTATAGAAAATTCTATTTCTTTAGGGCTAAAGGAAAACCCAGAAAGATATTTACCAATACAAATATTTATACTTAGGTTTGTATTCCGTAACAATCTAATCATATCACACTGTTTTTAATTAATTTATTTGCACATATCAATTTAATAAGAAGATAATTTTTTCAATCGCAACGAAACGATGCGTAGAAGCCAAAGAATACAACGAATGCGCAACCATGTTACACACAAATATGGTCAAATCTCATACGTGAACGAAGTCACTGGCCCGGACAACGACCAACGATGTTGATTACAAAGAAACCATATTTGATTAAACAACAAATACAATGTTTGCCCATGTAATAATGACATACATGATTGGGACAGTGTCGGGAGTATGGTACAAAATGTATTTATTATTACATAGCTAGCGCTCATATACCTCTTATCTTTTGTTTTCTCTGGGTAAGTATCAAATATTTGAATTTTGCGTAGAATACAGAAATGCCAATGTGTGCTAAATTTGCATTGGTTAAATTCTTAGCAGTATTTACGATCAACATATCATGAAACCGTTTGCTTATATATTGCGGGCACAAAACTATGATATACTAAATTAAATTTCAATTTGAATAAAAAACATGCCCAACAACACCGAAAATTGGGCTACCCTAAAAATTTACCAAACTTGATAATTTTTGGTAAGAAGATTTGATTTGAAATTACAGACACTCTCGTTAAAACACATAAAAGGGATTTTTTAATATATTTTTTATTCACCAGGAATCCGAATCCACATCAGAACAGAATCGTTTATGTAAAATTACATCGGTTGGAAAATGCGGCTAAAGTCTTCAAAATACGAAATTGGGATGGTACCATTCTATGTGAGCTGACATTGATAATTTTTGATAGAAAGATTTGACACCATATAAGAATTTCATAAACCAAATTAGAGTGAATTTATTTGAAAACTGGGCAGACTTCGGGTATATTTGACTGCTGTATCCTGTCAGACGTCGCCTTTTCGAAGGAACATTGACATGAAATTGAATGAACTTAAATTGTGATCTTTATCTACATGTGACCCGACTAACATGAATCCATACACTTGTCATTCTGCAACCTATGCTATATTAAATTTCATTCGAGCATATTTAGAGTCGTTTGCGTACAATGGGATAAATTTATGTAAATCATTTTTCACACGCCATTCGGTACGCTGCACTGTTCAAAATTTAATCTCAATTAAACACCCGTTGATTTGGTGCACAATCAACATAAAGTCGGTCAAAAATATGTCTGCTATGTCTGCATCTACACAAATTTCAACTAAACGGTATAACGTCATTCTAGTCTCAATTTGATGTGTTGTGCAAAATTTAGTGTCAATCGGAGAATTATGAGTTTGGTGCACCATTCACTTAAATCGGGCGAAAATATATATGGAAACTATATCTAAATCCAAACCGATCTTAACGTTGAAGGTCATACTAACTTCAGTACGTTTTGCAAAACTTTTGTTAGCATGAATATTTAGTTGCACCATTTACCTAAAATGGTATATATCAGCTTTATTAAACATAATTTATCACAGAAAATGATTTTAGCAAACATATGTCATGAATATTTTGTACGTTACGCAAAACGTCGTGCAAATAGAAATAAATTTAGGGACTTTGGTACGGTACAACAAATCGGACGAAAATATATATCGGAGCCATATTTAAATCTGAACCGAAACTTAGCACACTTTACCAGTCTCAATTCAGTACGCCATTTCATGGAAATCGAAAGTAATATAGGGGCTTTGGTGCACCATTTACATAAAATCGGACGAAAATATATATGCGAGCTATATTTAAATGTGAACCGATTTTCACCATTTTCAATAGGGTTCGTCCTTTGGTCAAATAAATTTAAATCGGACTATAAATGAGACCTGTACTTTGTTTACAATTTAACATCAACAGACGAAACTTCTCAGAGATTAATTTATACTAACTTCAGTACGTTTTGCAAAATCTGGTGTCAATTGGCTTAGCTTTGAATATTTAGTGCACCATTTACCTAAAATCGGTATATATGGCAGCTTTATCTGAATATTTGAAGATTTATAAACGGAATAAAAAATTAGCACACATCATGTCAGTACTTGCAAATGTACG